TCCCCAAAAGCCTTTGATAGAATTGGTGTGGGGCCCTGTAGAAGGATCCACAAAATCGTTAGAGTGGTTGACTCTGTCGTGAATATATCTGAGAGATGACAAGGGAATCAGAGACAGTGCCATCAGACTGGGGTAAGTCACTTATTATACCGATATTCAAGAAGGGAAACAAGTCCTCGTGTGATAATCATAGGGGGATCAGCCTAACGAACATAGTCTCTAAAATCCTAGGCTCAGTAATCATGCATAGACTAAGCAGAACTCGGGAGGAACAGACAAGGGAAAATCAAGCAGGCTTTAGACCAGGTAGAGGGTGCATAGATCATATCTTCACTCTTCGACAGATTCTAGAACATAGACACACTTTTCGGCGTCCAACAATTGTCATATTTCTTGACTTGAAGGCGGCCTTCGACTCCGTGGATCGAAAGGTACTATGGCAATGTCTGACTGTGAAGGGAGTGCCAAGAAAGTACATTGCACTAATCAAGGCACTCTATTCAAACTCACGTAGTCGTGTAAGGGCTTATGGGGAATTGTCATCTGAATTGGTAACAACCAGTGGTGTCCGACAGGGATGTCCACTTTCCCCATTTCTGTTTAACTTCATCATAGATATGCTGATGGAAGTATCCTTAACTGAACGTAACGACTTAGGAATCGACTTGTTACCAGGGAATAGTCTTATGGACTTAGAATATGCAGATGACATAGTCCTGTTAGGGGAGGATGCTGACAAAATGCAGAGTCTTCTGAACACCTTGAGCAGCAATCTTCGTATGTTTGGCATGCGATTCGCCCCTGCAAAATGTAAGATGCTGCTACAGGACTGGACCACGTCAACCCCTAACTTAGTGATAGGGAGTGAAGTGATAGAACATGTTGACCACTTCACCTATTTGGGAAGTTGTATTAGCACCAACGGACTGATTGGCGATGAAATCTCAGCACGGATCCGAAAAGCTCGAGCTGCTTTCGCTGACTTACACCATCTCTGGCGTAGGCGTGACATCCGGTTATCAACCAAGGGACGTGTGTACTGCTCAGCAGTTCGCTCCGTCCTTCTCTATGGCTCTGAAACATGGCCAATACGCGTTGAAGACATGAAAAGGTTGACTGCTTTCGATCATAGATGTCTGCGATCTCTGTCTCACGTTAGGTGGTTTAATAAGGTAAGTAATGTTGACGTTAGGCGTAGAGTGTTGGGCAAAGAGGGAAAATCAATCGACGAGGCTATAAAGTTACATAGACTAAGATGGCTAGGTCACGTGGTGCGCATGCCTAACCACCGCCTCCCCCGACGGGCATTACTAGCTGATATAGGTGCAGGTTGGAAAAGAGCAAGTGGTGGCCAAACAAAAACATGGCATCAATCCATGAAATCCTTGACAGTTAAACTGAGTCAGGTAGGGAGATGCAGACTCCCGGGTTGGGGCCCTCGGGACTCTAGGAATCAATGGCTGGAGACAATAGGTGACATGGCTCAAAATCGTTGTCAATGGCGCAGATGTATTCAGTCTCTGTAATCTTTCATATTCCTTTCTACCATTACCCATTCTGTTTCACTCTTATATTTGTCAAACTCTATTGATTCTCTCCACTCATCTTCTTGTCTACCTCTGTGTGCTATTTGGAACGTGGCAACTCGAACTGCTGCACTTCGGTGCCAAGTTCTATGTTGAATCCAGACAGACAGACAGACAGTTATAACCTTTCCACTCAATTTAGTGTAATATAGATCCCTGTTTCACAAATCGATTGATAATAAGTATTAAGGTAGTTGACTTTTTATCTGCATTCCCTTCGACAAATCCTTTCTGTAGAGAATGGTCATATAAGCCGATCACCCAAACATTATTCGCTCGTTCACGACCACGGTGGTATTTTTCCCCAATAAGACGTTTGCATCCAAGTGCACGACAACACCTTCTCCTCCTAGTAACGAAGTTGTCATCTCCATTTTCCACGAAGCCATATCTCTGCTGATACCACTGAAGCGTTGTTAGGAGATTGCTTTCAGCTCCAGCAGCTGCACCTCTCACAGGCTGTTTTAACACCCAGTGATTACAAATATACAAATTCTGGGTTAAGGACAAGTGGGACTTGGCAAAAATGATCTCATTAAATATTAGGATCATCAGCTCACCTTCACTAACACCAACTCATCTCGACCGATTTGTACAGCGATAGATATATGTATCAATCGATCTGCCGAGGCTATTTATACTCATGACACCTTCACATGAACGAACCATTTCCTTCCCAAGCAACACTGCGAAACCTTATCCTCACCAAAGCGCATGCGCAACTGTTGGAGTAGGCGGAACAAGACCTCAACTCAAGTAGGTGGAACTCATTGGATCATTGAAGGTCGTCCTCTGATTGGTGGTGCCTTGGCCAACACAGTGAGGGATATCGACGCCACAATTAGCGAGGATATGTAATAAAGTCACTCACATTTGAAATATGTAGGTAGTCGGCAGCGTTAAAAGCAGGTGCTGCAGAGGTTTTCTTGAGCACACAGATTTATTTCCATATTCGTTTGTTTATTAGATGTATCACACAGTGAAACAGTATTAGTATTGACTGGATGACGTTTCAAACAAAATGTATTGTTCATAATCATATCAATTGTGATCACACGATTTTGAAACTTGAGTTTTATAGTTTTCTTTGTTCTCTCTTATTTGTCGTAGGGATAGTAGAATTCTCCAAATATCTAGGACAGGTGTTGAGTCATTCCTATTACATGTATTTGCAGTTGATTCGATAAGCAAAGCTTCTGTTGTCAATCTCTCCCTCCACCCTGCCAGCCACAATATTAGATTTTAAAACTGTCATTTTGTCCCATCCAACCTATTGTATGGTTGGGTGTAACTGCATTTAGTGAGTTCTACAGCTGGACAATTCTCTAGATTTCTTATCTTATTCGGTCAACCAGTCTAGATTTAGCTAGGTTTTTATGTTCGGCTAGTCTGACCTATGTATTTGACCTGACAATCATCTCAGACAGGGCATTAGATAGACTAAATTGTTTTGTTTTAAAGGCTCCACAGGATCTTTTGACGACAAAGCTTGTTTCTATTTGAGTTTGTGGGTTTGAATGCCAGCCACTTTTATTCCTACCTTGTTAAGAATTCTGCCTAAGATTTCTGAGATTCTTTCCTTGTGTGGGATTACTACTGATGATTTAGATTCCTTATTATTGGTGTTGTCTTGCGCATGTTTGACATGCATGTCGTCATTATTATTGTTATTAGTATTATTACCACTAATATTATTATTTATTTTATTTTTACATTTCTCTACATACTTTCTAACTAATTTTTCAGGGTAATAATTAAGTTTCAGAGCTTCTCTTATGTGCCTCACTTCTTGTCTTAGATTTTTCTTGGTGCTACTTAGTTTTGTGTGCCCTATTGTCACTTAAACATTTCACCAGTCCTATTTTTACTAACACATCGGAGGATGATCGGAAATCCAAATATCTGTTTGAATATGTGGATTTCCTGTGAACACTAGTGTTCAACTTCCCATCTTCTTTCCTTTTTACGCTTCAACCTAAAATCGGAAGTTCCCCTTCCTGACTTTCCAATTCATAAGTGAATTGAATCGCCTCCACCTTTGAGTTAATGTGTACGAAAAATTTTGTCCGAAACGTCATCCAGCAAATAATACTGTTTCACTGTGTGATACATCTAATAAACATGCTAATAAGGAACACATCTCAGGCATACACAGATGCGTGCTATTGGTCTATGATGCTTACCTGTTGGTCACTCGGTTTATTTGTCTTCTTCAAAGTGCCCATTTTACCGGTAGCAGCATATCCACAAAAGGGATCAGCTAGTCATGTTGATTCATTCTCATAGGAAAAAACGCTAATCATGATGCTTACTATCACTTGAAGGTTTGAAGAAGACTAACCTTAATCGATCGCTAGTGGAAAACAATCGTCATAATTGTCTGTGTACATACATGCTGTTTCATATTTTGGAGAAAAAACCAGTTACCTATATGTGCACACAAAATCGTGTACACAGTCACACTGGGGTAGCTGATGTCTGTAGAGCGTATTGTTTTTTTTTTTTCAAAGCTAGGTTCATATGCAACTGTTTACAGGAGGAAGGAAGGAATGAAGGAAGAGGGAAATTTATCCAACTTTGTGCTGTCTTGCCACGCTTACAAACACAGGCAACCTGTGTTTTGCAATTTTTTCTGTAATTTTACAACATTGAAGGGATTCTACCACTTTTCTCAGCTTATTATTCGTTAGTGTGTTTGTCTCTCCATCAACTTCTATTAATCCTGTGCACAATCACACTGTTTTCTGTGTGGATGAACACTATGTTTTGACCTTGAAAAATGTTGGACTGAACAAATTGTTCATCTTTGATTATTAATATTATTATTAAAAGCAAAAGAAATGATTGTATTACAGACAATCGATTGTTCAATGTGTATTCACTCGATGCATTTGTTGGCCAATAAAAAGCTTATTAAGCATACACCACTACAGAAACTTGTCCGTAGCATAGATACACACACATAGATTGGTATACAAGAAAAGTGGAGCTGAAAGACACGTCTAATTCTAATTGTATTGCGTATTCTTTGTAGCTTACTTTTGCCTTCAATATAACATACATATATATGTGTATGTGTATACAATTACTATCAATGACGCCGTCTATTATCATTACTTATTGTTAGCTTAACTTCACAAGACATTGTACTGAATCAGGCATAACATCCGATATGGATAGATGCAGTAAATCTGCTTATTCGTCAATTTCGCTTTCATTCACAAACTGAATCATAATACTTTCGTTTCTCTTATTATTAGTATCCCTTGTACATGTAAAGAAGTTATTCTGTTTCCAATTTAAACTTTTTTTTCTATTGATACAATTCACTTTCTAATAACTAACTGGCGCAGTTACTCACTCACTCAACCCCTCACACGTATATACACATAATAATAAAACAAATTAAGGAATATGTTATACGGTGGACCTCTTGGCACTTATCTCAGTGGTTTGTCCTCCTCATCTTCATCGAGTATTTCACATCTTACAACGCCAAGTTCAAATTACACTTCACCTAGTAGTTTAAGCAGTTCAAACTACTATTCAAGTGGAATTGGTGGATTAAGACGTAGCAGTTCAAGATATCGAAATTCTGGTGGCAGTAATTTATCCTCAACATCGACTGCATTAAATACTACTAGTAACAGTAGTAATACAAGTACTACAGGAGCTAATAATCCTTATTCATCATATTATACACCACCGGTAAGAAGAAAATATGGCACACCTGAAGTGAGTATATTTGTACAGCGTGTATTTAAATGATTTAAATTCTCTTTTGAATTTCATTGCTAAATTTGTTTGGTTTTTTTTTCAAAAAAGTTTAGTGGTGTCAATTGATGATGATATCATTTTGTCATTGAATATAACTAGGGGAACTTGTCAAACTGTGAGGAGATGAAGTGATGAAAAGCAGAAGTAGAATACTTGCTAACATAACATAGCGAAAGGTATATCAGTATGGTTAGTAGTCACAGTGGTAGACAATATCCTTACAATGCTCAAAAATACAAGCTAACTAGGGTGTATAATAGGATTTTGTTTCTTGTTTCATTAAAACATCCGTCATCAAGTCAAATTACCTTGTTGTATGTTTATTGGAGTGGTATTCAGTCAGTGAAAGTTTCATCAAAACTAACCAGTTAATTAACATTTGAGTACATTCTCCTGAGTGCCAATGTTGTACTCTTGTCCTGCAAGATTCTTACTGAAAAAATGTTGTAGAAGAATAAAGTAAAGTAGGTTGAGCATTTACTTATCTATTTTGTTTTGTTCTGAGTAGTACTTTGAAATCAAGACAACTTTCGACTACAGGTAGTTATTGAGTCGTTAGTTTATGTACTGTGAAACACAATACTTCGCGCTTGCAAAATTTATTATATTTTTCCTACTGAAAACAAATCTTGAACTTTGAATTCATCCATTCTTGTGCGATTAGATACATGAACGGTCTAAGAAATATAATTGCGCCTACTCTGAATAGCCATGGATTTCTTAGCTACCACTGTTTTTTCTGGATATGAAGTCATCAACTGAGTGGTGTTTTTTTCTGGACAATTTTTTCTGAAAAAATTAATCTACTTCAAAGTATTGTCTAAAAAAAAAACTGAAGTGTGAAAAGTGTATTTCTATTAATAACAAATCTAATCTTTATAAATCAACTCTTGATGATTAATCTGATGCTCGCTGGTGACTTGCTACATGACGGAGTTTCCTGCAGTTCTAATGAGAAGTCCTGAGTGAGGATTGATTTCGCACCGATGACATTGGTTGGTGCCAGTCGCGATGAATGCATCACTAATTGGTAGAAGTTAGAATTCATTCATTGACTGGCCATTGAATTGGGTCCCAGTGGCTGAATGGTTTACGAGCTCACTAGCCTTGTAACTAGCAGGTCCTGGATTCGAACCATGGTGGAGGGTGCGTCCTTCCGATGATTCCCAAACTAGGATGAAACAGCCAGCTGTCTAGTACTCCAGTGCTGGTTTTCAGTGGTTCTCTAACTGACATCAATCCATGGTCAAACTCGCAATAACAAATTTAATCCTTACAAATCAACTCTTGAAAATAAAGAAGATTTTTAACCCACTCCGTGCGTCTCGACTGGAAAATATAGCTGCAGGCTTTTGAGGTTTCAATAGCTGTGGTGTTGCTTTTTTACTGGATATGGCTGGCAGTCTCATGTGCAACGTTTTCTTTTCTCCAGGCTTAATATCGGCTAGGAAACTAGGTGACGTTTAGGAATGTCCGTTGGCCAACAGTCGAGCATTCTACCGCTTAACTACTGGTTCACACCAGCAGGATATGAAAGTATAAATGAGTATTAGCTTGTATACCACTGAAGGTGGTGATTTTTCTTCAATATTTTTTGTTATATGGGAGAATTATTGATAACTATTCAGTTTGAAAAGAAAGTGATTGATATCAGAGTGGACCACATCTGAGGAATCATATTATTTATCTGTTTCTGATTAAGGCTAAAGGAATCCATTATAACTCTTCAAATCACTAAGCAGTTTGGCTGAGCAAGTCGAAAATATTCACGGTTGTGCAATTGACAGTTACTGATTAGCACAAACAGTATGGATAGTTTCTCAGTTCATATAGTAAGCTAAAGTAAACTATTTCAGTTTTTATAGTACCTTTACGTAAGATATCATATACATTTGGTAATCTGTGTCTTTAGTGGGAATCTCATACTGAGATTTACATGTTTTAGACCGTAGTTGTCAGGTGCCTACAGATAAGTTGGGATTAAACGAATGCGAGCACACAGAGATGTTTTGACCCAAAATACACTGAATTATTTCTGTAGTAGCTGTCGGCCAACTTTCCTTGTCCACATTAAGTGACATGAAAAATATAGTTTCAATGAAACTACAGGTAAACGGTGTAAGTGGTATAATTTAATAATAATAACCGTAATAATGATCACTTTATTCCAAACAAGAGTAATCATTATACAGAATGGAATTTCCAGTCTTTTTATCTATATTGGAACAATTTAGCGCCTTTTATAAATATGTACATGCATAAGATTTAAAATAATAATAAAGAAATCACTATAAGCAGAATGTTGTTGGTGGAAACATAATGAAGTATAAGTAGATGGTATCATAATAATAATAATCATACATGTAGCAATAATGCTTGCTACTTCAGTTAATGATTCAAAGGGTTTATAAGTTCTTTTCTGACTCTTCACACAACACTCCTTCTAAATACGGTATGGTAGGATTTTTATATTTACTGGCTGTACGAGCGTGAATGCTTCTTATGAAGTTTTTTGCTGTTTTACCCTAAGAGAGACAAGGTAAAAGTTGAGGATAAGTAGAGAAGATGGATGTTCAGTGGTATCAGACAAGATAACTTTAGCCAAATGCTTTTTTTCTAAAAATTGAATTGAAGAGCCTATGAACAGTAATGTCAGCTAGATGAGTCAAAGGCAGCACATCACTACTAACCCAGACTGTTTATAGTCTTCAGTGTTCTGTGTGATATGACGTGGTCTTTTCTGAGGCCAAGACACAGAAGCCAAGGTATATTTTTCATTCATCAAACCTGTCTGTCTGTTTATACATCTACGGTCTATATTCGTTAACCAATCACTGAGCCTGTGAATTCGCTTACATTAAAACGACATGAAATAGAATGATCAAAGATACATAGTATTCTGTTGTTAATGCAGTCAGTCAGTCAGTATATAACCGTGGGAAAAGTATTCCTTCTCTAACATCAATAGAACAATGTCCAAATGGATATATTGTATGCAGTATTGAGATGTGGTAATAACATTCCAACTGTAACATCAAATAGAATATTCAAACAGACATCATATCGTATTGTGTCACTACTAATGCCGAATTGAAGTGTGGGTATATGTGAGAATAGTATTCAGTTGGGACACACTGTCTGTATCTCACACCACCACATTATAAATTAAATTAATTCAAAGGTCTTACTGTATACTCGACTAGTTTAAGCAGTGCGTCGGTGGCACAGTGGTTAGGACTCTCGCCGACCACGCACATGGTCCGGGGTTCGAGCCCACGCCGGCGCACACCTGATATCTATGGTCGGCCTGCAAAATTTGGGCTACCGATATCCATGCTGAAAATTCCATACTTGTACCAAAAATACAGTGTGGAATCAAGCTGCAAATCAAAAATTAAAATTTAAAAAAAAATCACTTTGTGAACACTGTCCATCGTTCGAATTACACAGTCAGTTAGATGGATCAATTGGTAGTGATATATGCAGAAGTGAGTTGGACAACTTTGATGTTGCCTTCTTGTTAATTCTGTTGTTAGGTTGGACACATTTAACAGAGTGAGTAGTGAGAAGAAATCGATAAAAAAACTCTATCTAAAACCGTGTGTTGAATACAAACGATAAACTTTTTATAAACGCGTCAAAGTAATTTGTAAAACTTACCATTTGACTTCCATTCATCATCAGGCATACAAATAACCCGGTTATTGTAAATTAAAAGTTTGAATAGCAGAGATGTTTATTTTTGTTTGGTACCCTATTTAGCGCACTGATAACTATTCACTTATTATGAAAATGCTAAATCAATATACACTTAGTCAACTTTTAAGGACACTGCATTCTTAGCGTTTTCACAATCCTCTAGTCTTATACTAGGTGACATTGTTGGTGTTATTAATGCTTAGTAAGTCTGTTTTAAGAGGGAGTTTTGGTTTATACACCGATTTATCGCTATAAACAGTGATAGCCACCAGGTGTGATAGTCAAGTTTTGGGGGTGAAAGGGAGGAGAAGTTGATCAACCATAAATTCATGTGTGTTGGGGACAAGAGGGTATTTCATTTGAATTGATATAAGAAAGGAAATTCGTGCACTGTTGTAGAAAAAAATTCTATAAGTGAATGGTTATATTTCATGCAACACATGTACACATATATTGGTAATGCAATGTTATCTATCTGCTGACTGTATTTCGAGCACATTTTATTATTCATAGAGATATCAAGGTATTTATACAACTTACAGATTTGATTTTATGTAGTTCTAACAATCCTTGTTGTTTTATGCTACAGGTAATAATATTTCAAGTCGGCTTTTAGAATTCCCTGTTAGTTTAACGAATCAACTTCAGGTAACCTTGAACATAACTGTCAGTTTCTGAACGTCTTCTAATCCTCTAGTCTACTTGTATTGATACTGAGTATTTTGTACGCCTAAAGGTTATGCGAATAGCTTGATATTGTTGTGAACAGGAAATTATGCTCGAAATGCGATCAGTACTGGTAACTGCATCACCAGTGAGTATTTGTTATATCAAATCAAATTATTTCATTATAGCATTCTTTTCTCAATTATATTTCTATTAAAAAGCTAACCATTTCAACATGTAATTTAAAATCGGGTGTAAATATTTCTTCAGCTCAGACACAGTGTTTTGATATCAAAAAGGCGGGATGTGAACACTGACAGTGAGTTATTCTACACTGATTTACTAAATGGGAATAATATGGTAGAAAATGGATAGTCAGAATAAATTTCGTATTATCTAAAATTCAGTTTGTCAATGTTACTGATAAGTGGTGACTGGCATTATAACTGAGAGCGTGTATTTCTCCATATTGGACAGTCGTCATCTGGATATACCTGCATTCCAATGAGTGATGCATTTCCTCACGACACTAGAATCCAGTAAGCAAAATTTCAGAAACGGAAACACTGCCCACCACACTTCTGCGGCACGAG